GATCTGACATCAAGGACCCTGTTCCTCGTCAGGGCTTCTGGGGCGCCCCGTCTACTTGCCCAGGGAGGCTCCAGTCACTTGGTTTCCCATAGCCTGTGAGGTCCTGGGCTGATACCTGGACACAGTACTTTGTGTGGGGCTGCGCTGCCCTGAGGGTGAAGGTCGTGGCTTCAATGGGTCCCACCTGTAGGGAGAGAGGATGTCAGGTCACTGCAGGGAGGAAGTGGGAAGGACCGTGATGCAGCGGGGCGCTGGCAGCTGTCTTGGTGGGTAAAGCACTTGCTGTGAGTTCGAATCCCCAGCAAGCATGTAAAGCCAGCAGCAGAATCACATCTCTAGTCTCAGCGCTCCCACAGAGAGGTGAGAGGCAGAGACAGGAGGCTTCCCAGTGGGACCCAGTCTCACCCAGCGTCCACCTCTGGGCTCCCTGGGGCTCGTTCCTTTCCCAGACCATGTGTCTGACCCCCCCTGCCCCTCAGCCTCACCTGGCGGAAGTGGGATGAGCCGTGGCGCCGGTAGCGAACTCGGTACTTGAGAGTGAAGATGTCCGGGAAGGGCCAGGAGGCAGGGGGATGCCAGAGCACCTGCAGCCTCTGCCCAGCCTTGCGCAGCCGCACGCCTGCCGGAGGATCGGGCTTGACTGCGTAGAGCAGGGGCTGGGTCAGGAGCAGCTCCACCGGTTCATCCATCACGCGCTAATTCCTTCCTTCCTTCCTTCCTCTCACTCATGCCCACAGTCACTCTCATCGCAGACACCCATTCATTCATTCGCTCCGTCCTTTCCGCGTCCATTTATACCATTACTTCATGGCTTCACTTATTCACTAAATCCTTCACCAGTTCTCTCCTTTCCTCAGGCATCTGCTCACGGATGAAGTTGTTGATTTGTTGGTTCTAGTGCAGATCTGTTCATGGGTTCATTAACTCATTCACTGTCTTTTATTCGTTTATACACTCACTCGTGTTCATTGATTCATTAAGTCATGAAGGCACTCATTTCTCCCGTCCTTAGGTCATTGACTCATTCACTCTATTATTCATGCTTCCATCCACTCACTCACTCATTAAGTCATTCAAATGTTTATGCACTCACTCCTGTCATTCGTTCATTAATTCACTCTTGTCACTCATGCGTCTATTATGCACTCATTATGTCAGTCATGCGTCATTCGTTAAATCATCCATGCATTCATTGGGCACTCATAAAGTCAGGCATGCATGCATTCACTCGTTTCATCCATCTGCTCAAGGAACAAGCATTTGCTGAGTCACTCTCATCACTGCGGAAGTCATGGTGCTCACACAGGCAGAGAAAGTTTCAGAGTGCAAGTCCCCAGAGGGATGAAGGGCTTTTCTGAGACACCGTTCTGATCACACAGGACTGTGCTGGAGAACATCTGGTGCAGTGAGTGTTACCATTACTCTGCCTGCTGCTAGAATTCCTTCATGCCAACACAAGCCCTACACCCATAAGCCCTCTCCTGTCCCCCTGGGGCCCTCAGCACCCACAGTTCTCCTGTCTCTAGCTAGATTCCCTGTCCTGCAGCCCACACTGTGGTTTATATCTGGGGTGCTCACTGAGCACAGTGTCCTCAAGGTCCCTCCACACTGGCTGGCAGAAGAATCTCATTCTTCAGGGCCAAGTAATGTTCCTCTGTGTAGATGGACACTGTGCGTCCATTCACAGGAGGACATGTGGCACTGGGCTGTTCCCCTTCTAGATACTGTGAATAAGGTTGCCACGGATGTGTAGAGATGAACATTTTTATTCCTGTTGAGCAGATACCTAGGCATGGAGTAGTCAGACCCTGTGGAGACTCCATGTTTATCCCTGTGAGGGCAGGTAGTTCTTCACTGACCTTCCTCAGCTGCTGCTCCTCCTTTTTGAGACTCTCTTGACTTCCCTTGAGCATGATTTGTAGAGCAGGTTGGCCTGAACTCTCATAGGTCTGCCACCTCTGGGATCAAAGGCCTGAGCACCACCCCTGGCTTTCCTCCTCTCTTAACAGACACTTGTGTTTAATAATACACTTTTGGGGAGGCCTCATCGAGAAGCTGACACCTGAACAGAGACCTAAGAAGGCCAAAGAAGGAAGCTCTGCAAAGGCTCTGGGGTAGGATGGAACCCTGGGTGTTGGGGAGCAGCAGGAGGCCTGTGAGGCTGGAGTGGAGCTGGGCTGGAGGCTATGGGAACTGGGTAGGACTGGGGAGGGTAGAGACTCACTGATCCGCTCCACCACGAAGGCCAGGAGGCTGCTGCGGGTGCTGCTGAGGTGCAGCGCAGTGACATTTAGCACGTAGGGCACCATGGAGAACAGGTGCACGTGGGAGATGGTGCACCAGGTGGCCTGCGGGGTCGGATGTAGGCAGGGCCAGCTCTGCTGTGCGGTGGTGATACCCAGTCTGCGTAGGAAGCACCATTGGGGGAGTCACAAAAGGCACATGGGTGCTCCTGGGGCCCCCGCCCACCCACAGCTGACCTTGGGAAGGGGACACTCCCAGGGCGACACGCTCAGGGGAACACTGGGGTTGTGGATTCTGAAGAACTCCCTAGAGTACCTACACTCACACTCTGATGTTTTAGAGACAGGCCCACGCTGCCGTCCACCCTGAATGGATCAGGGTAATGCTGTGCGGGCAGTTCAGCTGCCCTTTGGGACCTCTAGGGTCCTGACAGCGTCCTATGTCTGCTCTTCCCACCTGCTCTCTTGCTCTCTCTGCCTTGGTTTCTCTCCTGGGGCACCCTGCAATCTCTCTCTTCCTGTCTCTCTGTCTCTCATTCCCCTCTCTCTGCTTCTCTCTTCTCTTGCTCATTCTGCTTTGGTTTCTCCCCATTTCCTGGGCACCCTCCCCGTTTCTCTCTCTCTCTCCCCACTCCACATCCATCCAATAAACCCCTTTCATATCACATCTGCTGTATGTGGCAATTTAAAATACATCCTAACCATCAAGACGCTGGAATCTCCCCACCTTGTCCAGAACCCTCTCCATGCTCTGACCTGTAAGTGGCGATGAAGGATGTGGCTGTGGTGGAGTTGGGAGCCCACAGTGGTGTCCAGGAGCAGTCCACGGCCACGGGGTACCGAGAAGCACGGCATCGCACCCTAAGCTGGCTCAGAGCCACTAGGGCCACAGAACACAGAGGAGCATGAGCTTACATGTGCACTGTATGTCCCTGTTATGCATGGGAGCATGAGCTCCCATGTCTCCTCCAAAACCCAAGGGCCTCAACTGAGCTCATTTTCTAGAAGAGAAACCTGAGCTTTTTCTCCCCCCTTTCTCTTTCTTTATCTCTCTCTTTCTTTTTTTCCTTGTTCTACTTTGTTAGGAGGGTCTATGTAGCCTAGGCTGGCCTTTGAACTGTGGATAACCTTGAACTCCTGAGCTTCCTGCCTCAGCCTCCTGAGTGCTGCATGACAGGTGTGCGCCATGGCACCCGGCATCTCCTAGTGTTTCTGACTCACCATTGTTGAGTCGCAATGGTGGAGCTTCAAGGTTGCTGAGAGTCAACTGTCCGGTAACACAAATCTCTAAGCTCAAAGGTGCCTCTGCCTGAATAAATGAGGCTTTGTCTCTCGGTGCCTCAGTTTCCCCATCCATATAGCTGAATATGAACAGGTTCCATTGGTATAGATGTGAGTTCCCGCCTGACTCCAGATAAAAGCTAAGGCTGAAAATGGAGGGCTAGTACCCTCTGCCCATGTGCCTCAGTCCCCAGTGTGTCCACTTACCTGTCCCTGTATTACCAGGGGAGCAGCTGGCCCAGAGGGCAAGTGACAGGAGGAGCAGCTGGGACATGCTCTGTGGCTCTGTTCTCTGGAGCAGAGTTGAGGGACCCGCACAGGGAGACTGGCCCTGAATGAGGACCTGCCCAGTGAGGACCTGCCCAGTGTGGCTCAGTTACCCAGGATTTGGGGCAGGAGATAGTGATGGTGACAGGAGCCCCCGCTGTTACCAGCTGCTGTGTGTGTGTGTGTGTATGTGTATGTGTGTGAGTGAGTGTGAAAGGCTTTGCAGTGGGACAGGGGGAGGGCCCCAAAAGGGAGAAGTCACCGGGTGGCGTTCCTTCCGGCCAATGGGGAAGCCCCAGGAAGGGACATGAGGCAGAGGACAGATGCACAGGGAGAGGAGGGGACAGAGAGAGACAGAGAAGCAGAAACAGAGACACAGGGAGAGTGGGACAGAAAGAGACGGGGACACTGGGTGGTGCCCCCTCACCACCCACAGTCCCCCAAACTGTTTCAGGCCCCAGACAACAGGGAGCAACTGCAGCCTCCAGATAGCCCCCAACTCCAGGGACACTCTGAACTGTGCATGACATGTCAGAACACCCAAGGAAATCCCCAGGGACAGGCTAGAGTGTCCGGGAACTCCAGGCCTCAGGAGTCCCTTCAGCACCAAAAGAGCCCAGAGCCTCCTGGGGATTTGGGGGGTTTTCCCAGAAAGAGGGAGAGTTGGAGCAAGGGCCCTGCCAGGAAAGTGACAGAGAAAAATGGAATGTTAGTCATGACAATAGCCACTGTCATCCTAGCACATGGGAGGCTGAGACAGGAAGATGTCTGTGAATTTAACTCCAGCCTGCTGCATGGGGAGACCTTCATCTCAAAATGAAGAAAAGGGAAAAGCACAGAAGATGAGGGTACAGGCCCTTGAGTTCAATTCTCTCTCTCTCTCTCTCTCTCTCTCTCTCTCTCACACACACACACACACACACACACACACACTCCTGTACCACCACCAAAAAAAAAAAAAAAAAAAAAAATGGGGGGGAGGCAGAGGCAGGTAGATCTGTGTGAGTTCAAGTCCAGCCTGGTCTACAAAGCAAGTCCAGGATAGCCAGAGCTACATAAGGAAACTCTGTCTCAGAAAACAAAACAAAACAATAAAAATAAACAAAACCTAAACCCAAACCAAACCAAGCAACCAACCAACCAAAAAAACCCAACCCACCAAAAACCCCAAGATGAACAAAAGTACTGAAATGATGAAGAATGAGAGAATCCAGTCTGGGCTCATTTATTCACTTGTTTAGCACTGACAGGAACAGAGCCCAAGGCCTCAAGTACTCCAGGCCAGCCCCCAGCACCTTCCTGTGGTGTCAAAGGCAAGGGATTCACCCCTGAGCCACAATTCCATTCCCTGGTTTCTCTAAATACTGTTTTGCACTTGTCTTTCTTGTCATAACTGTGTACTGGGCCCGGAAGCTCAGACTGTTCCTAGCCTCCCTGCTCCATCTCTGCCCCACCCAGTGCTCCACACTGGTTGTGTTTCCCCTTTACAGTGAGCTTATCCTCCTGGGTGATGGGTGATCCTCCTAGGTGACATGTCCAGAGTTGCAACATTTCAGGTGGAGATTGATGGGCCTCAGAGGGCCAGAGTGTAGGGAGCCATGGTGTGAGGGTCAGCTGGGCACACTTAGTAAGATCCCAGGCTGTCCTCTAGTGCTGTTCCTGACTGGTTCCTGGCTGGGGAAGGTGTTCCCTGAGGCTTCAGTTCATAGAGGTGAAGGATGGAAACTGAACTTCTGAGCCGAGTCTTCATCAGTTCTGCAGCAGCTGCATCTGCAGGATCTGGCTGAGAATGCACTGTATGTCCTTGTCCATCTGTCCCTGAAGTGAGGAGGAAAGGGACAGAGGCAGAGACACACCCTGGAGTACCTGGTGTGTGATCCTCTGTCCCCTGCAAGTCCCTATCCTTAAGCCCAAGGGAGTCAATGGCTCATGAGGTAGATGAGTGGACAAGGATGCTCCCAGAAGCCACAAGGCTGGCATAAAACAGAAGGGGAAACTGAGGCCCAGGTTGTGACAGAAGAATGATGAAGCACAGAGGACACACCTAGATTGGACCAGGAGCTAGGGGCCTCAGCTGAATGGCATACAGGAGATGGCTGTGGTGCACCTGGGCACAGGGGAGAGGGAAGGATAGGCAGAGGGGTGAGGGACTCAAGGTCATCCTTGGCTCCATAGTGAGTATGAGGTCAGCCTGGGCTATATGAGACCCTGCCTCAAAAGAAATTTGGGAGTTAAGAGGGGAGGACAGGAAGAATAAGGGAAGAAGGGAGTAGAATGACAAGAAGAGAGAGCCTTCCACAGTGAAACACACCCATACCACTTCTCTGCCCCTGAGTAATGGCTAAGTCAGGGATGTGTCCCTGAAGTGCCCTGACCAGCCTGGACCCTGTCTGTACTCTCACTGGTCTGTTTGTGGCTCTCATCACCTGTCCCTGCTCTACATAGCCAGTACCTCCATGCCCTGCTGCATGGCTGTCGCCTGGACACACAGGGCATCCTCTTCCTCTTCAGATCTGGATGGGGCAGTCTGCTGCACCTTCAGAGCCTCCTTCAGGATGAAGACTTTTTTGGACAGATATGTGATCTGGTAAGAGAAGGGCTTCATGAGCAGCCATGCTGAGACAAGCAAGGACCAGGGACCTTTGCACCTGTACTGGGCAGCTTGGAAAGGGTCATAGATTCAGGCTTGGAGCCAAGCTGACTCAGTGTTTGTATTCGTACAGCCCAGGGCTGAAAACTTTAAGCATTTCACTCAATGCACCCTCCAAAAGATCAAGAGTCACTATAGAATTTTTGGTTGTTGTCATCATGGCTTTCTTATGTTCACAAGTAAGATGGTGTAAATAAACAGAAGCTTATGCTTTGAAATTGCCAGATGCTCGCTGTGCTGGAATGTTTAGATACCTGACCCCAGGAGGGTTTCTTGGAAGGGAAAGCCATCTTCAGCCACCCATCTCCTGCTGCTTTCCAGGCCTTTTAGCATTTGTTTACAAGCTGTGACAATAATCCCCACTTGTACCTCAGGCCCATCAGGGGCTATCAACAACTGTGCATCCATTCTGTAATCACCATTAGCATGTGACTCCGCCTGCTGTTCAGGCAGAAATAAGGAGCCCTGGGAATCTAGATTACCTGAGCCAGAAATCAGATAGTGTGACTGAACTTGGCAGTCAAGTATTAGTGTGGGTTTCAGTGTAGAAGGCCTGCAAGCAGGACACAGGATAAAATTCCTCCACAAAACAGCAGAGATAGCAGTAAGGGAGCAGGACGGGGATTCTCATGCCATTGCCACTGCTGCTGGCTGCTGCTTCAGCACCTTCAGATTCCAGGCAGGGATGTCAGAAAAGCAGAATGTGAACTGGGTCTGGTGGTACAGGCCCATAATCCCAGCACTTTGAAAGGCAGAGTCAAGCAGATCTCTGTGAGTTCAAGGCCAGCCTGGTCTACAAAGTGAGTCCAGTACATTTGAGGCTACACAGAGAAATCCTGTCTCCAAGAACAAAACAAAACAAATAAACAAAAACAACAAAAAAGCAGAATGTGGACTTGTTGGCAAAGCTACGATGTTATTACCTTGAGGACTACAGAACAGTGAATAACACTAGTGGACCAAAAACTCGGGTAGCAAAGGCTATGCACACTTTTCTATTTGCTTTTGTGAGATAGGGTCTGGCTTGTAACCCAGGCCTGCTTAAACCTCACAGTACAGAGCACAGTTATGTGCTACATGTAGCTTCTTTTTAATTGGTCGCTAAATATGCAGAATTAATACAAGTGAGCATGGTGGTGCATGCCTTTAATCTTAGCACTCTGCAGCAAAGGAAAACTGATCTTCATGATTTCAGGGCTAGCCTGGTCTACATAGTGAGTGCCCATCCAGCCAGGGCTACAGAGTGAGAATCTAAGAAAATAAAACATAGGAGTATAATGTAAAAGCACTAATGCTTTCCCAGCAACCGGGAGGCAGGGGCAGGCAGATATCTGTGAGTTCAAGGCCAGCCTGGTCTACACAGAAAGTTCCAGGACAGCCAGGGCTACAGAGCAAACCCTGTCTCAAAAAACCAAACCAAACCAAATAAAAAAACTAATGCTTAATTTGGTTTTACTTATTTTCTCTAATGATGCAGAGTTGAGAGAAAAATAAATCTGTATATCCATTTAGACTTCTCATCAATAACATTAAGAAGACAATGAAATATGAATAATTAATCAGAATATTAAGAGGCTCCATAGTAAATATGAAAGAACAAAGTAAAAGAACTCACTTTGATCTCACAGAGTTGAATTGACTAAAATCCTGTGTTAACATTGATGGGCCTTTTGTATAAAATAATGAATTAAAAGATTGAACATTTATAATGCATATTTTTAAAATAAAAATTTCTTTTTTTAAGATTTATTTATTTTATGCATATGAGTGTTCTGTCTGCATTTACATCTGCCAGAAGAGGGAATCAGTTCACATTATAGATGTTTGTGAGCCACCATGTGGTCACCGGGAATTGAACTCATGACTTTTGGAAGAGCAGACAATGCTCTTAAACACTGAGCCATCAATCCAGCCCTAAGATTTATTTATTAAGTATACAATGTTCTGCCTGCATGTACACCTGAACACCAGAAGAGGGCACCAGACCTCATTATAGATGGTTTTGAGCCACCATGTGGTTGCTGAGAATTGAACTCAGGACCTCTGGAAGAGTAGCCAGTGCTCTTAACCTCTGAGCTATCTCTCCAGCCCCTAAAAATTTCTTTTTACAAAAACGAAAATCAGCAAATTCCCAAATGCTAACCTGAAGTTTGGCTAGCCCAGAAACCGGCAGATATTTTTTGCTCTTTCTCAGTTTCCTAGCCAAAACAGTAGTACCCCAGAAATGAGTTGAGGTCTGGCTGAGCAGGTGGCGGGTGCCAGCAGAGGTTCAAGCCACTTTGCTTTCTAGCTGGGTTGTTGGGAGCCCCTCACCTCACTCACAGTGCTATCGGGGTCTTGGAGGCAGGGATGACCTTGCCAAAGCAGACACTTCCTTTGTTCCTACTGGGTAACCCCTTGACTTCAGGTACACTCCCCTAAGAGTGCAGGTCCTGGGTTGTGGGGGCTCCATCACTGAGTCATTCCCAGCTTCCTGTGCTCACTGCTTCAGGTGCTGGGGACACAGGCCTAGGAGCACAACAGAAGGGCAGGAAAGGAGCAAGGTATCACTTCACCTGCCAGGCAAGAAGGCCCTGAGTAGCTCACCAGCATGGCTGGAGGAAGCTGTGGCCTGTCTGGGGTTTAAAAGCTCAGGCTATGGAGGCTGTAAGACAGTACAGCATGACAACGATGCTTGGTGGTGAATCTCAGACTGTTTGGTGGGGTCTGTCAGATGGAAGACGTGCAGCTAAGCCCTCTGGTGCTTGTCCCACATCTATACAGCACCACAGTAGGAGGTTGGCCATGGTGGTTGTCATTTACCTGTCACCTGTGTGGACTTCTCAAAGCATATGTGAGTGTCACAGGACAGCAACGTGGACCACTCACACATGGCATCCAGCATCTTAGCCCCTGAGGGAGTCACTGCCCAGAAGGGTGGTGAACAGCCCTCTCTTGAGGTCCCAGATCTCAGAGGTGAGAAGGGCCACAATACATTGTTCCTGTCACAAAGGAGCCCAGTAAAGAGCTGATGGCTATAGAACAGACTCAGTCTTCATTCTGGATGCTTGTAAGGACTGCCTAGGCAGGCCTGAGGCAAAGTGCATAACACAGAGACAGACCTTGATCCATCCTGCTAAGGATTTGATCTGACGGACAGACCCTGTATTCACGATTATTATTCATTTTATTACAAATTTCTTTGCTCTCTTTCTTTCTTTGATTTTTTTTTCCTTTGCCATCTCATAGTAGATTTGTTTAATCCAAAAGAAAGTGCCCTGGCGATAACAATTTCCATGAAAAACTCTTCATTTGTTGCCATGCTTCTATTTTATTTTGGGTTTTAGAGCAAGAATTTCTTTGAGCAGTCCTGGCTGTCCCGAACTCGCTCTGTAGAAAAGGCTTAAGCTTTTGATGTCTTGCCTCCACCGCCCAATTGCAGCGTGACAGGCCTGTGCTACCACAGAAGGCTGGGGAAGTGTTAGTGTTTTGTCTACCAATGTTCAACTGAGAGAGGTGTGAGCAATCCAGGTGAGCCTTTTAAAAACTGTTGATGCCTAGTGAATAGCAATCAGTTTAAATTTGACCTGGATAAACTGGGCGCCCTTTCAGTTGTGAGGCAGGAGGATCATTCCACGTCAGTGTTTAATAATCTGTGCGTGCGGGGCTGGAGTGACGGCTCACTGGTTAAGAGCACTGTTTGCTCTTCCAAAGGACCCAGGTTCAAATTCCAGCACCCACATGGCGGCTCACAACTGTCTGTAACTCCAGTTCCAGGGGATTTGACACCCTCACACCAATGCACATAAAATAAAAATTAAATAAATTAAAAAAAGAAAACCCTGTAATAATCTGTGCGTGCTAGAGACCTTGTGCCTCGACAAAGGGGCAGTACCTACTCCGTGCAGGAGTGGTGCACGGATGGCTTTGCAGTCCGGTCGCTGTTATGAAATAAAATGCGGCACAGTCCTTTGGCGACCGAGCCAAGCTGTGCCCCTGAGAAATTACGACATAGAACAGACCTGGTGCTTATTGAGGGAGGGGAGGAGAAGTGAGGAGTTAGGTTCTGGGGAAGGGGCAGAGGCAGGTAAGTGGACTTGTGCACAGGCAGACAAACAGGAAGAGAGGGGGCAGGAGAGGAGAGAAAGGGGGCGTGCACAGGGGACAAAGGGGTCGCCAAGCTTGGGTGCGGGCTTGTTTTTTAAGCGACAGCACGCTCTGGGCACCTGGTGGCGGCGGCAGGCGAGCACATAGCCGTTCCTAGGTCCCTGAGAATAGGTTGGTGCCATTGCCTGACAGTAACAGGCCCAAGTTTTCCTGCAACACCAATCCCGGCAGGTCTGGGGCAGGTCTGTGCCTGAAGTGGAAACACCGCGCCATGTCTCGTCCCTAAGAGAGATGAACTCTGTCTCTAAGAGAGACGTTCCCGTCACTCAGGACTCAGTAGCCAATCAGGGTCGCCGGACGCACCTGCCCTCAGAACGGGGCGGGAACTTCCGGTCCGCCATACTTAAGGCTCGGCTGAGGACTGAGGCAGTTTCTCGCGGTTCCGTGTGCCGTGCTGTAACCCGCTGTCGGGAGCTGCGAGGAGAGCGGGGCGAGCTCGGAATCCGCGCCATGGTGAGCGGGGTCCGCCTTTCCCACGCCGGGAGGAGCCGCGGCACCCGGCGTAGGGTTGGTCCCGGGATGCGGGAACCAGTGGCCGGACTCGGCCCTCCGAGAGGTGCTGTGAGTTCTGTGATTTTCCTGCACTTCCTTGGCGGAAGAGGCACTGGTGAATGAGTTAGTGCGCTCCCATGAGTGAAAACATCCTTGTTGCTGGCGTCACCCTGCAAAGAACGGGCAAGAGCACAGCTGCTTTCCTTATCGCCGGGGAAGGCAGATTTGCTGTCTTGCAGAGCTCTCTTTAGCGTCTAATAGAAGTTCTGCACGTGGTCCTCGACACTGAGTCCGCAGTTAATTCTTGAAGGTGTAAAGTGCGTTATTAACACATTTGTATGTAGAGGCTGTGGTGGTCCAGCAAGTGTGTTAGTAAGGCCAGACTTACCTGGTTTCCTGGCCTCATTCGTCACCATTTACTTTATTTTAAATGCGTTTTTCATTCTTTCTTGTTTTGATCTCATGTTCTGTTTATCGCTTTATTTTTCCCAGACAGTAGGGTCTTTAATACAATTCTGTTTGAAGTTTTGAAGTGGAGGATGTCAGTGTGTTCAATATTTTTCCAATTTTGTTTGGTCATCATTTTTTCATAATTACCTTTTCTCATCAGTTTTCTGTTCTTGGAAGCAAAAACTGTTACACATTTATTGAACATTTGTTGAATCCATAGCTAAAATTTTGTATTGTTGTAAAACAATATTGACATAATGGCCAAGATAGCAGCAAACCACACGGCTGCTTTCTACTCAAGGTTAGCTCAGCTCCTGCTAAGGAGAGCCCATCCTCCACCAGACACAAGTCCCAGTTGGATCCACACTTCTCCAAGGTTGAATGTACAGTGTTACAGCCTTTTCTTTATAGAGACACTTTTGAGAGGTTAGCGTGAATACAGGAGATGGTACCCATGGCATGGTCTAGGCAGGTAGACTCCTCACAGCTAAGGAACAGAGGAAAGATTTCCGTGGCCTCAGGCAGAAACGGTTGAGTCCATGCATATGTCTTACCTCACAGATTATAACTGTTGGAAGCCAAGCGTGGCCATCCAGGTGTTTCACCAACTCCTCAGTTCCAAGACACAAGATGTTGCTTGGTCCTATTTTACTCCAGTTGGCTATGTTCTGGGCTGTGGTCAGACATGTTTCTGACCCTCCATGTTGCCTGGAACTTAAAACTTTCAGATTTCCACCTGGTAAAATAGTTGGGTCAAATTTAAAATCTTAGTATGCTTGTGTGGCGCTTCTGCACAGTTAGAAATGCTGTTTCTTGATGGCATCATCTACAACAGTCACACGTAAGCATGCCAAGAGTCTGTCTTCATTGTTTCCATCAGACCTGAAGCAAAATATCCCAGGTTCTCCGATGGAACTGAGTATTGAGGGGTAATACTGTGCGCTCAGAGAAAGATACGTTCTTAAACCTAAGTTTGGAGGGCTCCAGTTGTTTAGTCTCTTCTTAGGGTAGGGAAGGTTATTATTATTAAGGAAGCCTGTAACCCAGCCAGAGGAGTTGGCTGCTGCATAATTGGAGGAAATAGTTTCTTCTTTCTCAGTTTCTCTTTTGGGCCCTCTTTCTTTCTCTCCCTTTTCCTCTTTTTATTTTCATTACTATCTTTCACTCATTTTCTTTAGAGCTCTTTTCTCCTTAAGTTATATTCCTGTTATGGTTTATATTAGCTCAATAGCCTCACACTTCTAGTTTTGAATGGTTGTTCGCCAGTTGGTAGAACTAACTGTATAAAATTAATAGTTGTGCTCTTGTGGGAGTAGGTTTGTTTCCTTAGTTTGTGGCTTGAGGTTTCAGATGACCAGTGCAAGGCAAGTGTTCCTTTCCTCCTGCCTGTGTATCAGGGTGTAACTCTCTGCCCCATGCCTGCCCAGCATGATGCTTCCTTTCAAGGTGATGATGGGGTAACCCTCTGTCACTCTAATCAGTCTCAGAAGTATACCATTGTCAGAGTTGCCTTGGTCAGAGTGCTTCTTAGCAGCAACAGAGCAGTTACTGAGACAGGTTGTTCATGTAATATTTTGAAATCTCTCTATTCTGTGCATATCCTGTGAAATCAAGTAAGGTTAACTGAAATAATAATGGACTGATCTCTAGACTAACCATTTGGTCTGTGGCACGGTTATTATTACTCATGACTCATGCAGGTCCATAGGGCAAAAGAGCAACAGCAGGAGCAGAAATGAATGAAACCTGTGTGGTCTGGAAAGAAAAAGAGCTGTAGGTAAGTTCAGGTGACAGTCCTGTGCTGAAACAGAGGCAGCAATTATCAGGGAGATGAGGGTCAGTAAAGAGAGGGCACCCGTTCTTTGGACACATGAAAAAGGTTGTTTAAGAGCACTGCACCACCGAGCAAAGCACTTAACTGTGGAAGGAAAAGGCAAGGAGATGCATAGTCCCAGAAAGCAACTTTATCCAGAACCTGCTGCTGCTTTGTTCGCAGGGGCCCGGGTCCATCCAAAGCTAGAACTCCTTATGGTGTTATCATCTCTGTGCTGCCTTTCCTTTAAAGAAGAAAGTTGCGCATTTTAAGGGGCCTCGATTCTTCTGTGTTCAGCTCTGAAACTGAGGCTGTCAAGTTTGGCAGCAAGAACTCAAATGGCGTGTATCTAGAATGATAGATGATACACCTCTTAAGGAAGAGTAACAAATAATAACAATGACAAATAACAATTAAGGAGACTTAGAAACGATCATTTTATTCAAATAGTCTAACCTTTTGTGTCTTATAGAGATATGACATAGGGATTCATGTGTCCCCCCGCAGCAACCTTTTTGTCTCTTATAAACTGCTCCTCTCACTAAAAGTGTTTAGACACTACAAGTATATCAGGAAAACCAGCTTTAATATGAATGATTTTCTTATAGAAGGTCTTGAACATACAGTAACCTTTTTTCAATAAGTATCCCTGTTATGAAACTAAATGGATGGACAGTTCTACACGGCTATCATGTGTTTATGATTAAAATAATGTACTAAAGTAATGTCTTAAGCTGTTTCCTTGTATTACTTGTTAGTGGAATACCTTGCTGAACTGACCAGCTATCTGACATTGATGTACATGGTATTGTGAGAATTTAACAATCATCACAAAGCTGTGCTTATCTACACTGTGGCTTTTCCTTAAAGCTTCTGCGTACACTCACATTTCTTTAGCGGCTCACATGTATTACCTTGCACATGAAAATTACCTTCCAGAACTTTCACAGTGTCCTTCAATATTGTGGTTTTCTCATCTGTAGCCTCCACTATAGCACCAGAAAATATGTATTATTGTAAATTATGCAAATTTTCTTAGCCACATGCCTCCAACAAATATTTAGATAGGAAAGGTGGTGGGTCTGTACCAGAGCCACTCCTGTGGTTCCCTGCTCCCAGTGAGATGTGGTATGTCCCAATTTAACCAGCAGAGAGATGAAGATTTCTTTTCTTTCTTTTTCTTTTTTCTTTTTTGTCTCATGACCAGGGGGTAGAGGAGCTTTTCTTTTTGACTGTACAGAAGATCTGCATTCAGGCGAGGAGGCTAACAGTAGACCTGGCATTAAAAAATAAGCTGAAAGGGCCGTCTTTCTCTTTAATGTAGACAGCATAGCATACCTGAATTTGGGGAGTGGCCAGGGAGCTCCTGGAAACTAATAGTTGGGGTTGATCTTCAGGGTGGAAAAGCATGACTTTAGCCTTCCATCTTCCTCTTTGGGTGAAGAGGGAAGGGGCCTCAGGGATTGGTTTTGGTGAAAAGAGATGACGGGGGCCAGCCATGTTAACAGTGGCTGAGCAGAGAATTTCTCATTGGGATAATGGTTATTAATTTGTTCAGAGAACCCCATCACGCTGATGGCAAAGTGGCAATAATTTTTAAGTAACTGTTGGACATCTGAGAAAGAAAAGGGGGCCACGAGGATGTCTGGTTTTTCACCCTGTGTTTGTAAGGCCCTGTCTTCCTAGCTTTATGACAGAGGCCAGGGCGTCAATCTCTATTAGGAGGCCAGGAGCGCTGCTAATAGTAGTGTGGAGCCATCCCAAAATTCTCTTAGACTGATATGGGGCCTCCATGAGGGTGAGGGAAGGGTGGAAGATGAGGAGCTGGACAGTTGTGTCTGTTGTGTATTGGGCCAGGGACATGTCCTAGAGCTGCACATTAATCTTGAAAGGGTTTGTTTGACCTGGGAGGTGAGCCTTGGGATTGGGGGATTATTTCACTTTAGGAAATCAAAAAGGCTGTAGGGTTTTTGTAGTGATAGACAGCTATGGCTGGAGCCAGTTGAGGTTTTCTAAGAAACTCTGGAGGGTATTGAGATTGAGCACTTGAGGGAATGTTAAAACAGGCTTGTGTGTTAAGAATAGGGGAGGGAATGAATTGTATCTTACTAGGATCTGTTTTGAATCCTATTTTTTGTTAGAACAGGGACAAGTAAGTCTTTGAGGTCATGGGGTAAAGTGTTTTGATCTTCCCAGGCCAAGATATCATCCATATAATGATATATGTGTATTCCTATTTCTAAATATGGTTTCAGGGCAGCAATAAACACTTCCTGACATATAGTGGGGCTATTGGCCATCCCTTGGGGGAGGACTCCCCACTGATGTCAGGAGACTGGCCCAGAGTTGTTAATTTTGGGGTACTGAAAAGGCAAAATATTGACAGTCTTTGGTGCGTAGGGGAGTAGAGGAAAAATAGTTGTTACTATCTGTGGCCAATAGTGGAGTATTGGCGGGATTGCGGAGACAAAGGGAAGGCTCCTTTGAGGGGATCCCCAGATTTTCATGGTCTTGTTGGTAGCCCACAGGTCTTGTAATAGCTGTCATCCCCCAGAATTCCTTTTAATTGGGAAGGATACATTGGAGTTAGAGTTGTTCTTTAATGATCTGAGTAAGAGCTTCTGATTTCTTCATGGGTAAAGGCCATTGTTCAACCCAGATGGGTTCATCAGAGACCGGTCAAGGCAGGGAGTATCAG